GATTCACAAAAGTGGATATGCCTACCTTCCTGCGAGCTAACTCAAAAACTACGGCCAATATTGAGTAAATGGAATATTCAGGTGGTCATAAAGAAGAAATCAACACTTTTCACGAGTCTACCAACGCAACATGAAAGAGTAGACAAATTGGATTGTTCAGGAGTTTACTGGAAATATCATGCGGCGCCTGCGATCAGAAATACATTGGCGAAACAGAGAGAAAAATTAGCACACGAATCAAGGAACATCAAAAGCTCTGCAGAAAAATGGATACGGAAAGATCAGGAATAGTGGAACACATCGCACGAACTGGACACGAGATCGATTGGAGCTCCATTCGGTGACAACACAAGGAAGCGGAAGATTATGGAGGCCATTGACATCCTTGGGGAGAGAAATCGAATGAACAGGAGATTGAAGGAAGTTAGAGTTAGCGATAAGTTTGTCTACTGCTTAAGCAAACTCTGGGAAAACAAGAATAAAGCAAAACAAGCAAAAAGGACATGCCTGGATCAGGGATCTATAACTAACCAGAGGGAAATGGATCGCGATGGAGGAAGTCGGGGGCAGGGAGTTTCGGCAATAAAGCGAAGACGTTGTCAGTGAGCGATGTCCATTTCGAATAAACCAGTACCACTTTGGGAGTCTTGTAGTCAGGGAGCTGGGCAGACGGATAAGCACATCGTCATAGAAATTAGGGGTTCTGGCCAAAATGCACTAGAAATCCCCTTAAGATGCCTCAGTTTGCTCAGACAACATGGGTTCAATCAAAGAGACGACCCGTGAAGGCGATGCCTGCTATCTGCAAACATGGCAATCAGAGCTTAGGCGCTCTGCTCAGGGAAGCAGTAGTCTACGTGTTTCTAGGGCCATTAGATATAGGGCCTGGAGTAAAATGGACACAGTGACTGGAACCGAATAAAATCGGTAATCCGAAAAGATTTCGTATTAGAACAGAGTTTCGAGACTACCAGGAAATCAGTAATATAAAATGTATTCACCCTATTTCGTCTAAGGTGATGAAGGACTCTACTCAAATACGAAAATAAGTAACATAGTCGATTGCAAATATACGTTTGCTTCATCGGCACTCCCACTAAAGAATATGATATAGCAAAGAGGCCTGACCTTCCATGAAATTCAATTATGCCCTGTGACCCAAGGGCACTCGTGGCAGTGTGGTCGAGTGGTTTACGTGTCAAGTTACCGTCCTGCACTTTCGCGGTTCGACTCCCGCTGAGGATGTTGATAAGACCGATGCGAGGTCGAAACTGCAGTCCACTGGTACCTAAATGAGAACAACTTTTGGGAAAGCAAGGCTATGTGAAATGCAAGGGAAACCTCAGCTCAACTCATATGATTGTGGGAAAATTCTTCTTCTACCAGTCCTTCATCACCTTAGACGAAATAGGGTAAATACATCTCATATTACGGATCTACGAGACAATGAGGGGATCCGGATTGGAGGCCGAGTCGGATCAGCCGATCGACAGAGAGAGGTAGGGGTAAATAGCAAGTGGGATGAAGCCACACAAGATTTGCCACAAAGGTGCATACATTTTTGACGAGTGGGATGTAAACAAGTGAGAAGTTGTGATATGGCGGCAGTGGGATTAAAGGGTAAAGAGTGGATAGATAGGCCAGGACAGAAAGAGGAGTGACAATGCAACCGTTTTCGGTTGTCTCTTTGACGAGTTTGTAGCCTGGTGCGGAGAATGGCAAAACTCACTGATGTACCAAGTCCACTGTTTGATGCGGGGAATCATGACAGCTACTATGGCAGACGACTTCGGACTAGGTGCGTTCTACATAGTCACCCTGACAACAAGACCAAGTTTCGACGAGGTCAACCCACTTTTATAAATCGAAAGGAGACTGCGGCCACAACATCTTGGTCTTCATATATTCAAATGAATGTAAGTTTAGAAAAAAATACACGACCTAGGCGCAGCCCATCATTCAACCGAGGAGAAGATAAACATACATACCTCTTCATCTCATCTGTATCGTTAAGAATGTATTAATAGGGCGATCATCAGAATACTTTTCGACTATGTCCTATTGAGTGAAAAATATATCTGTATCGTTTACATGTGCTGCAACCGCTGTTGCATAAGCGATATTCTGGGGGGGGCAGTCTTTTTGAAAACGGCTCAGTAAGTCAGCCTTATCTAATTTAGATGCCAATTTCTGTGCCAATGGGGCTATAAAAAGAGTTACTAGATTGAAGCTATTTCGTGGATAGCATTTATGTTTTCCTTGTAGTTAACATTTATTAAACGAATAAAAATTGGGTTTCGAGGACTCTTCAGATGTATAATTGTTGAAATAATTTCAATTTTGAGTGAAAGTGTTTGATAAATAGATTCCAAAGTCAATCCCATCTTAAGTTGATGGCGTTTTCCTCTTGACCAGCTGGTGATTGACCTTACTGAAGCATTCTTATTGACGCTGTTTTGATTACGTTGAAAAAGGGTTAAACTTTCGTCATCCTATGACGGACATCATTTGAGCAGGCTGTCATCTTTAAAACCATACTCAAGTTGGCAGGTCAAGAAAACGAGAATGTTCAAGCCAATCAAGAGGAATCCGCAGTCATTTTCTCGTAGGATTTACCTTAAATCTCTTCACGAAATACTTTCACACAAAATGGAAGTGAGTGCAACATTTAGTAAACAAATGCAAAGCCCTCATAATTCGCTTTTATATTAATTGTAAAAGGATTAACTTCATACATTCAACAGTTGAATTCACAAAGTAGTGCAGATGATAAGCAAGTAAAAGGACTTAATTAGTTCGGTAAGATGATATTAGGTATTTTTGCGGGATATTTGAAGGATCATCAATCCTAGGATTAACCAGGAGACTATTGAACACGAACAAAATCATTTCAGACGATATCTATAAATACAGAAAAATTATAACAAATCTAGAATGCCAAAAAGGCTTATCGTTTGAGGAGACTTCAGATTAAGTATGCGATAGCCGATAAGTTCTACTTCAAAAGATTTGCCAAAAATAAAAGGAGATAGAAATGAAGAGGAAAAGGAGTTAGAATTTGATACTGGCACACACTTAATTTGGTTTGATAAGGCTGGTCGAAGGGATTTGTAGGCTAGCCTCACCTAATACCGAAAAAGGGTTACCTTGGACTTATGTCTGTTGAATTGTGCTAAGAAGAACTCGACTTACCATACTACGAACTCTGTGACTGTGTATAGCTTTCGTCCGCCATGTGACGGACATAGTCAGAGCCAGAAACCATTATTTGCGAACAATCACAAAAAAGACCAAATCAAAAAAGTCAACTGGCTGACATTCTTTTCACTTATTATACTTCAACTTGCGATCTTAATGAAGCATTGCATAATTTATTGTGACATGACCCTCCATTTTAAAGAGAAAGTTGCTTGGAAGCAATTTGTGATGTGATCCCACCGGAAACCGAAGGAGAATTGCCGCGTAGGGAAGACTGTTAAATTGTGCGAAGAAGTCTTCGGCTCACAGTTCTGCGACCCCGATGACACTGCGCTAAGCTTTCGTCTGTCGTCTCCGTGACAGACATCATCACAACAAGATTGCATACTTTACGAAATAGAACAAAAATGTACTAAACCAAGAGGAGGAATTCGTGATGTGGTCCCACAGACATCATCACAACAAGATTGCATACTTTACGAAATAGAACAAAAATGTACTAAACCAAGAGGAGGAATTCGTGATGTGGTCCCACAGACATCATCACAACAAGATTGCATACTTTACGAAATAGAGCACAAATGTACCAAACTAACAGGAGGAATTCGTGATGTGGTCCCACAGACATCATCACAACAAGATTGCATACTTTACGAAATAGAGCACAAATGTACTCAACCAAGAGAAGGTGGCATCCCATGATTTGGTTGGCTACTTCAACCTTACTGTACATGGTATGAAGACCAAGATGGTGTGTCCTTTTGTGTGGTCGCAGTCTCCTTTCGTTGTATAAAGGTTGCTTGACCTTTTTTTCGCAAATTAGTGATATTGGTAGGAAGACTGAGAGGAACGCACCTAGTCCGGAGTCCAATGTCTGTATGATCATTTCCAGAGTAGGATCGTGGACGTGGTACATTCCCAGACGTTTCGCCGGCATCGTAGTCGGCGTCGTCAATGAGTATCGCCATTTATAGCACCACATAACAACTCGTCAAAGAGACAAGTGAAGCCGATCCTTTGACCAAACGTGGGATAAACAGTTGTGGTATGGTGCTCAGAATGGCGATAA